CCCCACCCCCACACCAACCCCAAACCCCACCACCAACAAACACACACAACACACCCCAACCAAACAACCACAAAACAACCCAACCCCCCCCCCACAAACCAACAACAACCCCCCCCCCCCACCCCCCCAACCCCCCAACCCCCCACCCCCACCCCAAACCCAACAACCAAAACACCAAACACCCACCACACCACACACCCCCACCCCACACACCCCCCCCCGACCCCCCCACCCCCCACCACCACCACAAACACACAACCCCAACTCCATCCATCCCCCCCAACCAAAAAAAACAACCCCACCACAACCCCCCCACCCAACCACCCCCCAACCCCCCACCCACCCAACCACACCATCCCTCCCCACACCACCACAACCACCACCCCCCCCCCCCCCCAATCATTAACAAACATACACAACCACACCCAACCCCACCCACCAAACACCAACCCACAAACACAACAAACTCCAAAACACAACCAACAACCCCACCCACCCAATCAACACCCCCCAAAACCCCAACAACAACACCAAACAACACACACCCCACAACCCACACAAAACCAACACCACACCACAACCCCCCACCACACACACACCACACAAACCCCCATCACACCCATACCACAATCAAACCCCAACACACCCCCCCCCCCCCCCCACACCAAACCAAAACAAACCCCCACCACCCACCACCCCCCCCACCCACAACCACAAAACCCCCCCCCAACAACATACCCCCCCCCCCCCAACTCCCCCAACAAACCCCCATCCAACCCCACCCAAACCACCCTAACCCACCAAAACCTATCCATTCACCCAACACAAACCACATCAAACATTCATTCTAATATATACCTACCCCACCCAACAACCCCCCCCAACCACCCCCACAACCATAATCACCCCCCCAAAAACACCACCACTCAACCACCACCCACACACTCTACAAAATAACCCACACCAACACCCCCCCCAACACCCACACAAAACCACAAACCCCCCTAACACCCCCCCACCCACACCAACACAAACCACCCATCCCCCCCCCAACCCCCACCTCCCCACTCACCCCCCCCACCCACAACCCCACACCCATTACCAACAAATACCCCCCCCCCACCCAAACCACAATACCTAACACAATCCTCCATCTTCAACCTTCCTCAACCTCCACACCCCAATCTCACTCATACCAACATCACAACACCACCTACTAAAAAAACCCCCCAATCCCTCAATCACAAAACCCCAACAAAATTCTTTCTTCTACCTTCTTCTAAACCCCCCCTACCTTATCCCCCACCACACCCCTACTCCAACCCCCCCCCAACCCCCTCATCCCCTTACTAACAATCCAATTAACCTAATCACCCTTATTTTTCAACCTCCCCCCTTATCCCACCTTACCCACCCCCCCTTTTTCTCTACACAATCACCACACAAAACCAACAACCCACATTCTAACTCTCCCTCCCATTAATCAATCTTAATCTTATCTACTCCTCCCCATCCCCCAACACCCTCATTCCCTTACCATTTCTAACAAATTATTCCATTAATCATTCATTCTATCAAACCATACCCCCCCCCCCTCATCCCAACTCCACTTCCCATTCTAAACACAACCCAACCAACACCCCCCCCCCCCCCACACAACCCACACCCTCCCCCCCCCACCCCCCACCCCCACCAAACCCCTCTAAATAAATAAACATCCCATAAAAAATACAACCCCCAACCCTACTACCCTACCCCCCTCAACATAACACCACAAACCCCCACCACCAACAAACCCTTACCCAAACCCCCCCACTACTATTATCATATTATATAACATAATAACTAAATATATCCATATCCTAAAATTAAATAAAATATAATAAAATAATCAAATCTATAAATCAAATAAATATAAACCCAACCCCCCCCCACACCCCCCCAACACCCCCCCCCCCCCAACCAACCACAAACACCCAACCACCCCCCCACACCCCCCCACCCAAAAAACCCCCCCCCCCCCCCACCACCAAACCAATACACCCCCCATAACACCCACCAACCCCACAAACCACACACCCCACCACACCACACCCCACCCCACTAACACCTCCCACACCCAACCACCCCAAACACCACCACCCAAACCACCCCCCCCCCCCTCTCAACCCCCCCCTAACCCTCACAAACCACCCAAAACCCCCTACCCTCCCACCACCCCCACCCAAACCCCCACCACACCCCACAACACCCCCAACCACAACCAAAACCAACACCCCCCAACCACCCCACCCAAAACCCCACCCCCCCCACACACCCCCACCCTCCCCCCCCCAACAAACCAAACTCAACAACACCACACAATCCCCCCTCACAACACCCACACACACCCCCACACACACACAACATCCCCACACACACCCCAAACATCACACCCCACTCACAACACACTCATCCACACTCACCACAACAAACACCTCAACACACACACTCACCACACAACACCTCACTCACACCACACTCACCCACACACTCTCCCCACACACACCCCTTCACTCTCACACCACTCACACCCACTCACACCCACACACAAACCACTCAACTACACACACCCACACTACACAACACACACCCACACACACACCACACCCACACCCCAAACACACACACACACACCACACACTCTCCACTATACCCCCACACACACCACCACACTACACACCACACATAAAATCCCCTCTCATCTTCCACACTCACACCTCTCACTCCACTCATCTCTCCCCCTTCTCTCTCCCACTACACTCCCCACATTCTCACAACCACACACCCACAACAAACCCAAACCCACCCCCCACCCAAACCCCACCCAACCCACAAAACCACCTCCACAACAAACAACAAACCTATCCCACCAACAACTCACACCACCACCAAAACCCATAACCACCCCAACCACAACACAAACCCCCACACCCACCCCCCCCCCCCCACCAACCCCCCCCCACCACCCCCACACCCCACAACCCACAAAAACACCCACCACACACCCCCCCCCCCCCCCCCCCCCCCACCCCCCCAAAACCAACCCACACCCCCCCCCCCAACCAACCACACCCCCCCCACACAAAACACCAAAACAAAACCACCCCAACCAAAAACACACCAACCACAACACCACAACCACAACCCACCACCCCAACAACAAAAACACCACCAAAACACCAACCACAACACACCAACCAAAAAACCCCAACCTACAACCCCACCACACAACAACAAAACCACCAACCACAAACCACAACAACATCACCACCAACACAACACCACCCCCAACCACACACCACCCAACCACAACACCACCCAACCACACCAAACCAACCACAAACACCAACCAAACCACCACCAACCACAACACCACCCAAACAACACAACACCAACCACTAACACTAACCCAAACACCATCCCTAAAAACAAACAACCCACACCCCACACCCCCCACACACACCAACACCCCCCCCCCCCCCCCCCCACCCCCCCACCACCACCCCCCCCCCCACACCCCACCACCCAACACCCCCCCCAACCCAAACCCCACCCCCCCCCCCACCCCACCCCCCCCACCAACCCCAAACACAACCCCACCCCCCCAACAAAAAACCCCCAATAATACAAACAACAACCCCATACTAAACCAAACCCCCCCTCACCCCAAAACCCCCCCCAAACAAAAAAAAAACAACCAAACCCACCCAAACCCCCCACACCCACCCCCCCCCTCAACCCCCCCCCCACCACCCCAACCCCCCACACCCCCCCACACACCCCCCCCCACACACACCAAACCACCCCCCAAAACTCACACATCCCCCACCCACCCCCCAACCCCCCACCAAACAAACCAAAAACAACCCACAAACCCACCCCCCCCAATACTTACTTTCCCCCCCCAAATCCCCACCAAACCACTAACTAATCAAAAAACATCCAACAACCACCAAAACAAACAAAAACCCTCTAACCACACCCCTATTATAAACACACCCCCCCACCCACCACCCCAAACCCCCCCCCCCCCCCCCCCCCCCCACAAAAAACAATACCCACCCCCCCACCCCCACCCCACAAACACCCACCCACAACACAACCCCACCACCCCCCCCCACCCCCCCACCCCCCCCCACCACATCCCCCACCCACCACCCCAAACACCCCACCCCCCCAACACCCCCCCCCCCACCCCCCCCACAACCCACCCCCCCCACCCACCAACCCCCAACAAACAAAAAACACCCCCACCCAACAAACCCACCCCCCACACCCCCCACCCCCCACCCCCCCCCCCCCCCCCCCCCAAAACAAAAAAAAACACACAAACCCCCCCACCCCCCCCAACCCCCACCCCCCCACCCAACCACCCACCCACAAAAAACAAACCCCACCCCAACACCCCACCCCACCAAACCCCCCCCAACCCCCCCCCCCCCAACCCCACCCACCCCCCCCCCCCACAAACCCCCCCACACACAACCCACCCCCCAACCAACCCCCCCCCCCCCCCCCCCCCCCCCCAACCCACTAAAACACCCCCCAAACCAACACCCCCCCACACACCCCCCACCACACCCCCCACACAACCCCACCCCCCCACCACCCCCCACCCACACACCCCCACCTCAACACACCCCACCACCACCCCCCCACACCACCACCCACACACCCAACCCACCCCCCCAACCACACACCCCCACCACCCAACCCCCAACAAACACCCAAACACAACCACCACCCCCCACAACCCCAACCCCCCACCCCCCACCCCCCCACCCAACACCCCCACACCTCCCACCCACCCAACAAAACCCCACCCCACCCACACCCACCCCCCATAACCCCCCCCCCCACCCCCCCCTTCACCTCCATCACCTATCAAACACCCACAACCTCCACCCCCCATACATATCCCATCCTCACCACCCACTCTTAATTACCATTAAATACCCTTAATCATCATCTATTACTCCCCAAAACCCCCCCCCCCCCCCCCCCCCCCCCACTAAAAACCAATCATCCCCCACAAAACAACAACCCCCCCCCCACCACCAACCACCCCCCCACCTAACAACCCAACTACCACATACCCCCCCCACCCCCCCCAACCCCCCCACACCCAACCCCCCCACCCCCCCCAACACCCACACAAACCACCACAACACAACCACCCCCACACCTCCACACCCCCCACACACCCCAAACCCAACACCCCACCCACCCCCCCACCCAACCACCACCCAACAAAAAAACCCAACACCCACAAACCCACCCCCCCCCCCCCCCCCCACCACACACCCAACACCACCCCCACAACCCCCACCCCCCACCCCCCACCACCACCCCACACACACCCCCCCCCACCCCCACCCCCCCCCAAACACACCACCCCCACCCCAACCAACACCCCACCCACCCCCCCCCACAAACCCCCCCCCCCCCCCCCCAACACAAAACACCACACCACACAAACCACCCCCAACACCAACCCCCCACACCACAAACAACCAACCAACCCCCCACACCACCCCCCAACCCCAACAACAACCACCACCCACCCCCCCCACCCCCCCCCCACCAACCCCCACCAACCCACCAAAAACCTCCCCCACAACAACCAACACCAAAACACCCCCCCCCCCCCCCCAACCCCACCCCACCAACCCACACCCCCACCCCACCCCACCCCCCCCCCACCACACCCCCACCACCCCCACACCACACCCCAAACCCAAAACCACACACAACCCCCACCAAACACCACCCACCAAACAAACCAAAAACACAAACCACAACAACAACCCCCCCCCCCCCCCCACCCACCACCCCCACACCCACACACCCCCAACAAAACCCCCAAACCCCCCCAACCCCCCCCCCCACCCCCCACCCAAACCACAAACAAACCCCCCCAACCACAACCACCAACCCCCACCCCCACAACCACCCACACAAAACCCCCCAACACCCACCCCCCCAACCCCCCCCACCCCACCCACCACCAACCCCCAACACCCACCCACCCACCCCACCCACAAACAACACACACACAACCCTCCAAAAACCCCCAACCCCCCCACCCCCCCCCCACCCCCCACCCCCCCCCCCCCCCCCCCCCCACCCACACCCCACCACCACCCCACCCCCCCCCCCCAACCCCCCACCCAACCCACACACCCCACAAACCCAACCCCAAAAAACACCAAACCCAACCCCCAACCCCCCCACCCCCCCCAAACCACACCAACACCCAAAAACACCACCACACACCAAACCCAAAACCACCCCAACCAACCAACCAAACCCCCCCCCCCACCACCCCAAAAACAAACCCACCCACACCCCCAACACCCCACAACACCAAAACCCAACCCACACACACCCCAACACCCCCAACCCCCCACACCCCACACCACCCCCACCCAAACCACCCCCACCCCACAACCCCCCAACCCCCAACCCCCCCCCCACCACCCACCACCCCCCCCCCACCCCACCCAACCCCCCAACCCACCACCCCCAACACCCCCCACCCCCCAAACACCCCCCCAACCCCCCCCCACCAACCCACCACAACCCCCCCCCAAACCACACCAACACCCAACCCCCCCCCAAACCCCCCCAAACCCCAACACCCCCCCCAAAACACACCCCCACCCCCCACACCCCCCCACCCTCACCCCACCACAACCCCCCCCCCCACAACCACCCCACCAACCCCCACCCAAACCCACCCCACCACCCACCCCAACAACCAACAACACAAACCCACCCCCCCCCCCAACCACACAACCCACCCCCAAAACACATCAACAAAATAACCAACCCCAAAAACCCCCCCCAAAATACAACCCCACCACCACAACCAACAACCCCACAAACACCCCAACCCCCCCCACACCCCCCCCCCCCCAACCAAACCCCCACCACCCCACACACACACCTCCCAACCACCATAACCCTCCCCCACCCACCACCCCCCCCAAACACCCAAACCCAAAACAACCCAAAACACCCCACACCCCCCACCCCCCCACCCCACACACACCCCACCACCCCCCCCCCCCCCCCCCACCCCCACCCCCCCCACCACCAAACCCCACACCCCCCCCCCACACAACCACCAAACCCCCACCCCCCCCCCACCAAAACCCACCCACCAAAACCCCCCCACCCCCCCCACAAAAACCCACCACAAAACCCACCCATCCAACCCACCACAACCCCACCCACCAACCCACCACCAAACCACCACCAAACCCACCACAAACCCACCACCAACCCCACACAACCCACCAACAAACCCCACACAAACCCCACCCCCACCAAACCACCACAAACCCCACCACAAACCCCCAACACCAAACCCCACACCAAACCCACCACCAATCACCCACACACAACACCACCAACCCACACACCCACACCCCCCACCCCCCCCCAAACACCCACCCCCACCCACCACACCCCCCCCAACCACCCCAACACACACCCACCCCCACAACCCCCCCCCCCCCACCAACCCAACCCCCCACCCACCCAACACACAACACCAAAACAAACCCCCCACCAACCCCAACAACCCACCACCAAACACCATCCCCACAACCACACCAACCACACAACCAACCACAACCAATACCACCCACACACAACCAAACCCACACACCCCACCCACACAACACACCAACACCCCAACCCCAACACCCAAAACAAACCAAACCCCCCCACCACAAACCCCACCCAACCCCAACCCCCCCAACCCCCCAACCCCCCAACCCCCCAAACCCCCAACCCCCCAACACACACCAACCCCCCCAACACCCCAAACACCAAAAACCCACCAACACCCAACACCCCAACCCCCACAACCCAAACCCCAATAACCCAAAACCCCCCCCCCTTCACCCACCCACAAAACCCACCAAAACACAACCCCACAAACCCCACAAACAACAACACCACCCAAAACCCACACCCAAAACACAACAAACCACATACCCCCAACCCACCCCCCCCCCACACCACCCAACCCCCACATCACCAACCCCCCCCCCCCTCCCCCCCCCACCACAACACACACCTCAACCAACCCCCCACACCACCCCAACCCCCCCAAAACAACAACAACCACCCCCCCCCCTCCCCCCCACCACCCACCAAAACCCACAACCAAAACCACAAAAAACCACCAACCCACAACACACCCAACACCCCAACCCCCCACACACCAACCAACCACCCAACACCCACCCAAACCCCCCCCCCCCACAACCCCCCCCAAACACCAAAAACACAATCCATAAAACACATAAACCACACCTCCCCCCTAACACCACACAACCCAAACACCAAAATAAACCCCCACAAAAACCAAAACACAATCCCACACACCCTCAACCCCATAAAACAACCAATTACACTAACATAACAAAATACAAATCTCCCCATAAAAACCCCCCCCCCAACCCCCCCCTCCCACCCCCCCCACCCCCATCCCCCCCCCCCCCCCACCCCACCACCCACAAAAAAACCATTATAGTACCCAATCCTTTTAACCTCCATATCAACACACCCACCAAAAAAAACCATTTCCACAACCTACACCCCCCCCCCTACCCACTCCCCCCCCCCCAAACCCACCCAACCCAACCCACAAACCAACAAAAAACTCACTCCTATAACCAACACAACTCCAAACAACACACCCCAACCCAAACCCTTACCCAAAACAACCCCCAACAACAACTACAACATATCCCAACCCCCAACACAACACAAACTAACACCACCCCACCACCCAACCACACACCCAACCCCCCCCACCCCCAACACCACCCCAACAACCCCCACCTAAACCAAACACATCCCACCCCCACACCCACCCCCCAAACCAAACCCCCAACAACACCCACCACCCCCCACCAAAACCACCCCCAAAAAAACCCAACCACCAACCACCAACCCACACCCCACACACCACCCACATACCACACACAACCCCCACCACCCTACACCACCCACCCCCCCCCACATCACCAAACCCCCCCCCACCCCACCAAACCCCCCACACACACCACCCCACAAACACCAAAAACCAAAAACACACAAACCACAACCAAACCCTACCCAACCCAACCCAATACCAACCCCCCACCCAAAAATCCAAAATCCCCAACCCACTAAACATAACAATACCACCCATCCCAAATACATCCTCCATACCATCTCTTCTATTCCTACATACCCCCCAACCAAACAAACACCATCTACATACTCCACAACAACATATCCAAACACCTAAATTCATCTTCACTCAACTTCCTCTCCCCACCACATTACATTTCCTATCTAATCACCCATCATATTTATACCCCCCCCCCCCACCCTTTTTATCCCCTCCTCCAATACACAAACCCACACCAACCAACCACACAACAACCCCCACCCCCCCCCCAACACCCACCCCCCAACCCCACCCCCCCCCCCCCCCCCCATCCACCCCACAACCCCCACCCACCCCCCACAAAACCACACACCCTACACCAAACCCCCCCAAAAACCACACACCCAACAAACCCACATCACCAAACCCACAACCCAACCAACCACCCATCCCCCACCCCATCCCCCCCATCCCAACACATCCCCCCCATACACTCAAATAACCCCCAACCACAAAAAATCCACCCTTAAACCACACCCAAAACACCAACCCCTCACCCACCCACAAACAAACAACACACACCAAACAAACAAACACCATTCCCCACCCACCACCCCCAAAATCCAACCCCCACCCCCCACCCCACCACACAAAAACAAACACCCCCCCCCACACTCCCCAACCCACCCCCAACACCCCAACAACCCCCACACCACAACCCAAACAACACAAACCCAACCAAAATTAACACTACCAACCAAAACACCACACACCACAACCCCCCCCCCCCATTCCACCCACCCACCACCACAACAAAACACAACACCCCCCACACCCACAACTCCATCAATAAACTAACCCACCCACAACCCCCCACCCACCCACACCACAAAACCCCCCCCAATCCCAACCCCACCCACCACACCAACCAAACCCCCAAATCACAAACTCACCACACCCCCCCCCCCCACCCACCACCCCAACCCCACACCACAAAAAACAACAACCAAACACAACACCACCCAACCTCCCCACAACCCAAACCACACCCAACAACAAAAAACACACCCAACCCCCAATCCACCCACTTACCAACCCCCCTTCATCCCAACTCCCCCCACCCACCCATACTCCCCAAACCACACAACCCCCCAACAACCACCCCCACACAACCACACCCCCCAACCCACCAATCCAAACAACACCCACCACCAACCACACCCCACCCACCACCACCAAACACCCCCCCACCCAACCAAAAAACCCCCAACACCCCCACTAAAACACCCCCCACAACACCAACCCAAAACCCCACCACAAAACCCAAACCCAACACCCAACACCAACCCCTCCACCCCCAACAAACAAAAAACAACAACCCCACCAAACACCCCCCACCCCCCCCCACCCACAAACCACCCCCACCTAAACCCACCCCACAAACCACCCCCACCCTCTACAAACACCACACCAACCCCCCCCACCCCCCACCACCCACACTCCCACATAACCCAAAACCCCCACCACCCACTCAAACAACCCCCCACCACATACCACCCAAACACACCCCCCCCAACCACCCACCCCACAAATCCCTACACAACCCCCCCCCCCCCCCCCCCCCCCCCCACCACACAACCACAAACACAATCTACCAACTACCAACCTACCCACTACTAACTCCCCCCCTCCCCCCCCCAAATCACAACTAACCACCAACCACACCCCCAATACATCAAAAAAAAACCCTACCCCAAACCCAACACACAAAACATCAAACAACACCACTCACACCCCCCCTACCAATCCCCCACCCCACCCAAACTCCCCCCACCCCCCACCCCAAACAACCAAACTAATCAATCAACCATAACCACTACCCTACTATTTATCCACCACAAACAATTAACCATACAAAACCCAAACCACCCCACACCCCCAACCCCCAACATCACACACCCTCCCAAATACAACAAACAACACAAAACATCACACCCCCATACCCCCAAACCCCCCACATTCCCTTAATATCCAACACCATCATACCATTCCCCTTCATTCATTAATTCCCCATCCCAACATACCCTCATACAACAACCATACCATTATCAATTCCAAACCCAACCCCCACCTACCCCCCCCCCCTCACCCCCCATCCCCACCCTACCCCCCCCCCACACCCCACCCCCCACACCCCTTTCTAAACATAAAAACAATCATAACATACACCAACCCTACTACCTACCCCCCTCCACCTAACACATTAACCCAAATACCCATCCCAACCCCCAAACCCCCCAAACCCCCCACTACCACAAACACAAAAACACAAAAAATAAAACCACCAAACTCTCAACACACACAAAACAAAAACACTCACATACACAAAAAACACACAAACACCCCCACCAACCCCCCCCCCCACACCAAACCCCCACCCCCCACCAACCCCACAAACCCACCCCCCCCACCACCCCCCAAACCCCCCCCCCAACCAACCAACCCCCCCCCACACTCCCCCACCCCCACACAACCCCCCCACACACCACCCCCACCCACCCCCCACCACCAACCCCCCCCCCCCCCCAACCCCCCACCCAAACCCCAACCCCCCACCACCCACCCCCCCCCCAACCCACCCACAACCCACCACACCCCCCCCCCCCACACCCCCACCCCCAACCCAAACCACAACAAAACCCCAACACCCCTACCCCCCCCACCCAAACCCCCCTCTCTCTCACCTCCCTCTCACCCCCCTCTCTCTCTCCCTCTCTCTCCCTCTCTCCTCTCTCTCCCTTTCTCTCTCTCCTCTCTCACCCCTCTCTTTCTACCCCTCTCTCCCTCTCTCTCCTCTCTCTCTCCCTCTCTCATCTCTCTCCCTCTCTTTCTCCTCCCTCACCCTCTCACCCTCCCCTCTCTCTCACCTCCCTCTCACCCCCCTCTCTCTCTCCCTCTCTCCTCTCTCTCCCTTTCTCTCTCTCTCTCCTCCCTCACCCTCTCTCTCTCCCTCTCACCCCTCTATGTCTACCCCTCTCTCCCTCTCTCTCTCCTCTCTCTCCTCTCTTCTTTTCTCTCTCTTTCTCCTCCCTCTCTCTCTCCTCTCGCTCTCTCCCTCCCTCTCTCCTCTCTCCCCTCTCCTCTCTCTCTCTGTGTGTCTGTGCACGAGGGTCAACAAAACACGGCCTGGTTTTTAATTGGATTTTAAAAATGTAAGAGCAATAATGTGGGGACAAACTCAGTTAAAAGTGTGCGGCGCAGAGTGAGCGGCGGAGGTCAGCGGCGCCGCGGTCTCTGCATGATTTATGACGACACAGACGCGCCGGGAATTTCATTTTTAACTCTCTTCAATGCACGGTTTCTGTGCGAATGCAAAAGAGAAGAGTGAATATCAAACTGTGGGACAACATTACATTAAAGACAGACGTGTGTTTCCTTCGACAAGTAAAGTCTGTTTTAATTCTAACTTTACTGAAGAGCAAGAGGCTTTTCTCTGTCCTCTCTCTCTTCCTTTGCTCTCTCTCCTCTCTTCCCTCTCTCTCCCCTCGCTCTCTCCCCTCGCTCTCTCTCCCCTCGCTCTCTCTACCCTCGCTCTCTCCCCTCTCTCTTCCCATTCTCTCTCTCCGCTCTTACCTCCCTCTCTCTTCCTCCCTCACCCTTTACCTTCTTTGCATCTCTATCTCTCTTTCTCTCCTCTCTCCCCTCTCCCTCTCTCTTCCCTCACCCTCTTTCCCCTCTCTCTTCCCTCTCTCCACTCTCTCTCTTCCCTCTCCCTCCCCCTCTCTCTCCTCTCTTTTGGTTCTCTAACTTTCTCCATGAATGAAAGGCTGTTTTTCTGACTGGGTCCATTACTTTCTAGCCTGGTCGTACCACACCATAGTACACATTTCATTTCATACTGAGTTCTGGAGGTGGAGGAGGAGGAGGATTGGATCTGAGTTTACCGTGACATATGTAGTGCGCCCGAGTGTGTTGTTAGCATTTAGAATTTAGCCTAGCCATCTCCTTTGCCCGTGGGGGGTAGCGCCACAATTTTTCCAGCGATTACATTTGCTAAACATTACCCTTGCTTCGGCTTCAATTTCTTGATAGAACCAGACCGGATTACTTTACTATCGCATTCTTCGCCATTGCCAAACTACAACCTGCCCGTTCGACGCAAACTCTTGACGTCACCCACAACAAACTACAACACCTGCCTTCCTCTGAGTAGCCGGTCGAAATACGACCGATTGTAATCTCTAACACAGGGACCAGACCCGACGTTACATGCAGTGAAATGATGATTGAGCGGAGTGTACGGATGGCTAAGGCCAGGCTAATTACTTTCTCTATTACAGATTTATTATAGCGTATCACAAACCTGCACATACATTGGTTCCGCTCCTCATTCTCCAACACGCAGCTAAAGCTAAAACAGGCCTTGTGTATACGGACTGTGCTATACAAATGTCCAGCCCTTTCTCGGAGAGTGCATACCCCGCCAACACCACACATCTACACAACTTTGAACACAGTCCTCCACCCTCACCTTCTATCTACACAACAGATTTTGGGTTAATATGTCCAGTAGTTTTTGCATAATCTTGCCACAATCAAACAAACAGACGCACACACAAGGGCCAACACAGGAACTCTGACGGTGAGAGCTTCATTCACCCAAACACAGCTCCACGGCTCGTTACGCAGTCAAAGTATTGTCTATAGTGTAGTAGTAATAGTAGTTTTAGAACCCTGAGCCATATGTGAACAAACTCTCTCTCCTCCCTTACTTTCTCTCTCCTGTCTCTCCTCTCTCTCCTACCTCACCCTCCCTCTCTCTCTCTCCTCCAGTGATACAGCAGCAAGAAAACAGGGCAAGAAAACTGATTTTACTGCTGTCTAAATGACTTTATTTGGCAGAAAGACTAGGTTGAGAGGCAGATTAAGTGGCATTCACAAAGTCCCCAATAGAGACCCCTCTCCTCTCCTCTCTCTCCTCTCCCCTCTATCTCTCTTCTCTCTCCTCTATCTTTCTCCTCTCCCCTCTCCTCTCTCTCCTCTCCCCTCTATCTCTCTTCTCTCTCCTCTATCTTTCTCCTCTCCCCTCTCCTCTCTCTCCTCTCTCCTCTCCCCTCTCTCTCATCTCTCCTCTCTCTCTTCTCTCCCCTGTCTCCTCCCTCCTCTCTCTCACCTCCGTAGTAGGAGAAAGGTCCGTTGGGGATGAGTTCTCCAGGTTCCAGCCGGTCCACCAGGGTCCTCATCCTCCTGGGGCTCCTGAAGAAGGCGTGTCTGCGGGCCCCTAGTGCACTCAGCTGCTTCATCCTGCGCTCCTTAGATCGACGGTTCTGGAACCAGACCTGCAGACACCAGAAACACATGTACTGGTTATAATGGGACCAGTGCAGACACCAGAAACACATGTACTGGCTATAACGGGACCAGTGGAGAGACCAGAACACATGTACTGGTTTTAATGGGACCAGTGTGGGTGAGGAACAAGTCCAAAAAGAATGTGTATCTATTGTTGATTGTAGGTCTATGTGCTACTGCAACTGTTAAAAGCCATGCATACACTGTAAAATACATGACTGTAGTAGTCTTCTGAACAAATCACAGCGGTGCAGGGACTAGAAAGACACCAGAGAAGGACTCGAGAGAGAAAACACAAAGAGACCTGAGAGAAACCTGAGAGAGACCAGAGAAGGACCAGATAGAGACCAGAGAAGGACTAGAGAGAGAGACCAGAGAGAGGGACCAGAGAGCCCAAAGAAGGACCAGAGATCAGGGAGAGGGTCCATAGAAAAACCAGGGAGAGACTAGAAAGAGACCTGAAACCAGAGAGAACATGAGGACCAGGGAGAGAGAGTAAAAGAGAGACAGAAACCTGAATGAGAGACCAGAGAGAGACCAGAGAGACCAAAGAAGGACCAGAGATCAGAGAGAGGGACCAGACAGAAACCAGAGAGAGACCAGACGGATAGTACAAATATATGTATATATGTAAACTGGTGCAGCTGTCAGCAGGACATTCTCATGACAGGGCAGGGCTGAAGCACAGACACACACTCTGTAAACACCTCTTCACAATAATGCTCCTCTCCACAGAACACACACACACACACACACACACACACTCCTCCTTCGTGTTTGTGCGCTCGCCGCGTCAGTAAACACATTTTTAAATATGTTAATAAAGCCGCTCCTCCTCAGAGCAATCAGAGCTGTTTGCTTTGGCACCTGCGCCGCACCGACACAATTATGGAAGTCAATATTGTGAGTGCGTGATCCGCCGGCGACAGGGCGTATGAATACACCGGGAAAAGTAGACCTACTCCAGATTCAAGTTCAGTCTGTTTGCCAATTGCAGTAAAACCATATTGGAATAACCGTACAAGACTAGTAGTAGAAGTACGAAGTATGTGCTGCTCCATTGAACAGAATATAATGCCCAAGAGATGGAGCTGCCTTAGAGATAGAGGGAGGAGCTCGGAGAAGAGCCGCTGCATCTCCATGTCAAGTTTGGGTCTCTCTCCTCTCTCCTTTCTCTACCCTCTCCCCCACTCCCTCCTCTCTCTCCTCTCTCCTCCTCTCTCCTCCCACCCCCTCCCCTCCCTCTCTCTTCCTCTCTATCCTATCCCTCTTCTCACCTCCTCCCTCTCCTCCCACCCTTCTCCCTTTCTCTCCTTTCTCTCCTTTCTCTCACCCCCACTCTCTCCTCTCTCTTTTCTCTCTCTTCTGTCTCTCGTTTCTCCTCTTCCTCTCCTCCTCTCACTCTCTCTTCTCCTCCCTCCCTGCTCTCCCCCTCTCTCTCCTCTCTACCCCCTCTCTTCTCCTCCCTCCCCCCTTTTCTCTCTCCCCTCTCCCCCTCTTCATTGCAGATTTCCTCCTAATCTGAGGCAGTTACAGATACATTAGCGCCACTGGAGGTTATCGTCCCTAATCTCTACAGAGGCTGCTTTTAATTGCGTCCTTCCTCTTTGCCTCGTTGATATCAGAGCTGCTTTCCACTACTTACTGTATCTGGCAACATCTGCCCTCACCCCGCTGTCCCCCGATCTCCCCCGCAGCACCAACAATACATATGACTAGCATCAGAGCCCAGGGAGAAAGCTAAAAACTAAAACGCTAAAATATATGAAGTAATATTAAGTGACGGGGAATGTTAACGTTGGATCCAGATATGAAGTGGATAAAGTCATGTAGCCTGAAACTATTTTGCTCAGTAAGAGAAGCGACAATGCAATAGTAATTTGGGTTTGATAGTTCAATTCAATTTATTTTTTATATATCGCCCTGAATCTATAAATATTTCAAATTTGCTTTAGACGTTAATTCAAGAGCCAGGGACAGAGGAAAGAGAGCGAAGGCGTGAAACTGCACCGACATCAGATGTAAGTTGTAAAGGACTTTGCAACTCGAAATATGCCAGATTGGAGTGGAGTTTGAGTTATTGTGAAAGGTTGTCATGTTTTTAGGACCCGTGTCGGTTCTCAGCACGAGGAAGAGCTCAGTGTGTGAAATGAAAAGGGTTTGACAAACATCCGACTTTGAAAATAATTCTTCTAAAGTCACCTCCACAGTCAAGACCAGCAGGAGATCAGAGAGAGGGAGGCGAGAGAGAGACCAGAGAGAGAGATGCGAGAGAGAGACCAAAGAGACCAGAGAGAGAGCAGAGTGAAGGACCAGAGACAAGAGAGACACCAGAAAGATCAGTGAGAGTGACCAGAGAAAGAGAACAGAGAGAGAGACCAGAGAGAAAGAGAGAGAGACCAGAGAGGGAGAGCGGTAAGACCACAGAGAGAGACCAGAGACAGACCAGAGAAAAAGAGAGAGACCAGAAAGGGAGAGCGTTGAGACCACAGAGAGAGACCAGAGAGAGACCAGAGAGAGAGAGACCAGAAAGAGACTAGAGAAAGAAATCAGACAGAGCCAGAGAGACCATAGGAAAGGATCAGAGAGACACCATAGAGAAAAACCAGTGAGAGACAGAGAAGGACAAGAGAGAGACCAGAAAACTGTCCCTCACTGAAAATAGTGGTTCTCTGGCGCTCGCTGCTGTATCCAAACCCTTGTCTGTTCCACTCTACTGGAAGTGTGCAGTCTGCCAAGTCCTGCTACACCTCACCCCCCAGTGAGCTCCCAGTGGTCCCAGAGACTCACACCCCCTCACCCGCCTCACCCCCTCACCCTCTCACACCCTCACCCTCTCACCCCGTTCCAAAGCCAAGAGCAGAGGGCGCAAGCAAAACAAGAGGCGTCAATTATCCACAGACTAGAGAGAGACCAGAGAAAGACCTGAGAGAGACCAGAGAGAGACCAGAGAGAGAGACCAGAGAGAGAGCAGAGAGAGAGAGCAGAGAGAGAGCAGAGAGAGAGAGCAGAGAGAGAGACCAGAGAGAGCAGAGAGAGAGGAGAGAGAGAGAGCAGAGAGAGAGCAGAGAGAGAGACAAGAGAGCTGCTGCTGCTGGTGTGGGAGGTTGCTCTGGTGTTTTGGCAGGACTCACCATCATCAGACATAAGCTGTGACATCACACCTTTTTAATGCGCTCAAAGTGAAAGCGTGCGATGACACCTCTGAGCCCCGTAACGACACAAACAAAACAACACCCCTCCCTTTCCCACACGCAATTATCCCACTCATGATTTCGGATGCGGGACATGGACTCAGCTTTAACTATGCATCGGTACGGATTTTAAAAACTGAGATAAGTGTAAGATTAATGTGATCTGGTCCAACTGCTACAGAGTAAAAATATACTGTGTGTTAGATAGAGACAAGAGAGAGGGCAGGGAGAGAGACCAGAGAGAGAGCGCACAGAGAGAGAGAGAGAGAACAGAGAGAGAGAGCAGAGAGATACCAGAGAGAGACCGGAGAGCAGACAGAGACCAGAGAGAGAGAGGCCAGTGAGAAAGAGAGCAGAGAGAGAGAGCAGAGAGAGAGAGCAGAGAGACCAAAGAGAGACGACAGGGATCCAAAGGAGACCACAGAAACCAGAGACCAAATAGAGACCATTGAAAATCCATTTAGAGACCACAAAGACCAGACAGAAAGCATTGTGAACCACAGACAGACCATTGAGAGCACAGAGAGACTACAGAGAGAGCTTTGAGAGACCATAGAGACCAGAGAGAGACCAGAGAGAGACCAGAGAGAGACCAGAGAGAGATCACAGACAGACCATTGAGAGCACAGATAGACCAGACAGAGACCATAGAGACCACAGGGACCATTGAGAGGCCACAGAGACCAGAGAAAGACCAGACAGAGACCAAACAGAGAGCGCTGTTACCTGGATCACTCGCATGTTGAGTCCGGTCTCCTGGGCCAGCTGCTCTCTGATGTGCCGTGTTGGTTTTGGCGTAGCCGCGAACGCTGCCTTGAGCGTCTCCAGCTGCTTGGCCTTGATGGTGGTGCGCGGTCCTCGCCGTTTGCCGCCGAGGTTCTGGTCGTCGTTCTCGTTGTTCACCGTCTCTTTGTCGGACAGAGCCGCAATCTCCGTGTCCTTGAGCACCACGTCGTCCTGCAAGGGATCCTGGGAGTCCGGGGAGAGGCTGGGGTCACTGCAGGCGGTCACTGCACGAGAGAGACCAGAGGAGAGAGAGTCAGTTTCGGCTGTATTTGTATCGCACATTCACAGTCGTATCAGCAGAAGAAAACACGCAAATACATGTGAATACTATAGGATGTAGAGTAGAGTAGAGTAGAGTAGAGAGTAAGTTAGAGTAGAAAAGAGTAGAGTAGAGTAGAGTAGAGTAGAGTAGAGTAGAGTAGAGAAGAGTAGATTAGAGTAGAGTAGAGTAAAGTAGAGTAGAGCAGATAGTAAGTTAGAGTAGAAAAGAGAAGAATAGAGTAGAGTAGATTATGGTAGAGTAGAATAGAGTAGGGTACAGTAGAGTAGAGTAGAGCACAGTAGAGAGTAGAGTAGAGTAGAGTAGAGTAGAGCAGAGTAGAGTAGAGTAGAGCAGAGCAGAGTAGAGTAGAGTAGAGTAGAGTAGAGTAGAGCAGAGTAGAGCAGAGTAGAGTAGAGTAGAGTAGAGCAGAGTAGAGTAGAGTAGAGTAGAGCAGAGTAGAGTAATGTAGAGTAGAGTAGAGCAGAGTAGAGCAATGTAGAGTAGAGTAGAGCAGAGTAGAGTAATGTAGAGTAGAGTAGAGTAGAGCAGAGTAGAGCAGAGTAGAGTAGAGTAGAGTAATGTAGAGTAGAGTAGATTAGAGTAGAGTAGAGTAGAGTAGAGCAGAGTAGAGTAGAGTAATGTAGAGTAGAGTAGAGTACAGTACAGTAGAGTAATGTAGAGTAGAGTAGAGTAGAGTAGAGTAGAGATAGAGTAGAGTAGAGTAGAGTAGAGTAGAGTAGAGTAGAGTAGAGTAGAGTAGAGTAGAGTAGAGTAGAGTAGAGTAGAGTAGAGTAGATAGACTAGAGTAGAGTAGAGTAAGTTAATTTCTTCTTCATGACCACTGCAGTAAAACTGAACCAATGGGAGTGGACTCTCTCACACTTTCGCTTTCTCTACATTAATGTAAATAAATCGTCACAGCAACAAGTTCAGGTAAAGATTGCTCCTAAAAGCGAACACAGCGAAACATACTCAAGTTTCTGACTATAAGAACAATAAATCTGACATCTCAGAGAACACACAGCACTTCAATCTAAATAACTTTATTTAAACATTCATAAAAGTCCATAAACTTAGTCCTAATTATTAAAGATTTTTTTTGTATTTTGTGCCAGTATAGAGCTCCAGGGAAGCTAGCTGCGTTAGCTTAGAAACTGACGCCCCATAACAGTACTTTTAACCCATTCACAGTTTTAACACAGAGAGAGAGAGACCATAGAGATAGAGTCTAGAGAGAGAGACCAGAGAGGGACAGGAGAGAGACCAGAGAGAGAGACCAGAGAGGGACAGGAGCGAGACCAGAGTGAGACCAGAGTGAGACCAGAGAGAGACCAGAGAGAGACCAGAGAGAGACTAGAGTGAGACAAGAGTGAGACCTGAAAGAGACCAGAGAGGGACAGGAGAGGGACCAGAGAGAGATCAGAGAGTACATTGTTTAGTGGGAAACCGGTGCACCTGGAGGAAATCCACAGAACCCAGGATCTTGTTGCGAGAAGCCTTATCTCTCACTGTTCCAAGCATCTTAACACTGCACTGTGTTAAGATGAGTGCACTGAGCTGAGTGGTTAACATTCTCACTTCTCAGCAAGAATATCTAGTTCTAGTTTCACAGCAGCATCTTTCTGAGCTGAGTTTGCATGTTCTTCCTGTGTCTGTGATGGTTTTCAGTACTACTAAAACATGTACAAAAGATCCTCTCTCTCTTGGGCTAGGATTCTCTAATAAAAGGTCAATAATACAATTTAGCAGCGGCTAGCAGCGATTAGCAGCGATTAGCAGCGGTTAGCAGCGGTTAGCAGCGATTAGCAGCGATTAGCAGCGGTTAGCAGCGGTTAGTAGCGGTTAGCAGCGGCTAGCAGCGGCTAGCAACGGTTTTAGCCCTTAGACCTTTACACGACTGTGGCTATTTCTATTAACACTATTTGTATAAAAACGATACATTTTCTCTAAAACGACGTTACGATACATTTGTGTGGTTTAAAACAGTAAAAGCAAAAACAAATCAAATGCATCAGATTCTGTTCCAACGCTCTCTGTGTCCCTTTGCATTCCAACAATTCATTTCAATTTATTTGTTTATCGGCAAAAACAAACAAATCTGATAAATTTAAAAGCAGTAATAAACTCTCAAAATATATTAAAATAACTTGATTTTACCGACCGCAAACTTGTTGTAATTTCCAAATACAGCTATACTACAGATACACTATGCAACCATACAACTACACAAAGTTGTAGATTCCTCAACAACAAATCATAGAATCTAACACATCACTCTACACACAGTAAATATATATATATAATATCTATCTATCTACACACACACACACACACACACACACACACAAATATACACACACTCCTACATACAGACACAGTTTGGCCCAAAGGAGAATTATCCAAACAAATCTCACTGTCTCTGCTCTATTCACATAAACATAACCATTGCATTGTAATGTGCCACTAAAGCTGTATGTTTCCCAACCAGTGGTGCGCGGACAGTTTGGAATCAGCTCGATGACCAAATCTGCAGAACTACACACTTCTACAAAACACGTTAAATCACTATTTAAAGTCAAATCATCACTTCATCATTTTTAGCCAAAACAAAAACACACATTTATCAGGTTTGTTCAAATGCAAAGACATATTTCAGCTGCAAAGTTACACACCCCGGCTTTAGTTCGGTCTCAATACACGCTGTGATTGTTAGCATCATTTAAGGAAAAAACGTCGAATAGGTTGAGCACCGGGACTGGCCTCCTGCTGGGACTCTGAGGAGCACAGGGACTGGCTCCTGCTGGGAATCTGAGGAGCACAGGGACTGGCTCCTACTGGGACTCTGAGGAGCACAGGGACTGGCTCCTGCTGGGACTCTGAGGAGCACAGGGACTGATCTCCTGCTGGGACTCTGAGGAGCACAGGGACTGGCTCCTGCTGGGACTCTGAGGAGCACAGGGACTGGCTCCTGCTGGTTCCAGACTCAGGACTAAATATCAAGAGGTAGTTTCATGTATTGTTGTGCTATAGGGGAAACCGGAGCACCAGGAGGAAACCGACATGGGAGAACATGCAAACTCCACACAGAAAGGCCTGGAGGTGGAATTGAACCCGGGACCTTGTTGCTGTGAAGAACAAGTGCTAACCGCTCATGAGAATGTGTCATGTGATCTATAGGGACCAGAAAGCTACGGACAGGACTTGCACTCAAACCGTTTTTTCACCTTTCTCAGTTTTTTTAATTGTTGCGTGGTCAAGCTAAAGCTACACCTCCTGCAGTTTCACAATCTGTTTACATAACAACATCAACCATAACAACAAATCTGATCATTATAAAAGCAATAAACAAAACAATGTCTCAGAATATTTTAAAAAAACAACTGATTTTTCCCAATGAAAAAATCCAAACAGCAAATTTTACGTCATTTCTCAATCCCAGCTACAACTCAGCAAGATAATCAGTTCCATTTATTTTATCTTATTTGTGTGTTGCCCTAAATCACAACAGCAGTCGAGGCCTTCACAAAGTTGTGGATTTGCCAACAACAGATCAGAGAATCAAACAGTTCGATCATATTAATGCAATTAATATGACGGTACAGTGATGTGTGTGCGTGTTTGTGTATGTGTGTGTGTGTGTTTGTGTGCGTCTGTGTGTGTGTGTGTGTGTGTGTGTGTGAGTATATCTGTGTGTGTGCGTGTATCTGTGTGTGTGTGTCTGTGTGGGTGTGTGTGTGTGTGTATGTGTCTGTGTGTGTGTCTATATGTGTGCATGTGTATGTGTGTGTGTGTGTATTCGTCTTTAGAGCAAGGTTGTATGTGTAAATATTTGACCGAAAAAAAGAACAATAATAATAACAAAAATCATAATTAAGAAACAAACGCATTTATATTAGTTTTGCATTAGGAACAATCATTACATGCGCGTGTGTGTTTGAGTGTAAGTACGTGCATGTTTATTCGACTGCGTGCGTGTCTATTTGTGTATACCTTGCATGTGCGTGAGTATGCGTCCGTGTATGTATGCGTGCGTGTATGCGTGCGCGCTCACCCGAGAGCAGACTGGCGTCCTTGACCGAGGCGTTGCTGAGGTAGTCCTCTTTGCAGACGAACTTGTTCTCGTCGATGATGTAGAGCTCCTCTCCCGTGGACAGCTGCTTGTTGCACATCATGCACGTGAAGCAGTTCAGGTGGAACACTTTACTGCGCGCACGACGCACCAGGTCGTTCGGAGAGATGCCCTGAGAGCAGCCGCCGCACTTAGTCCCGAAGCGCCTGCAACAGAGGAAGAGAGTTGGAAGAGTTTATATACATACACATATATATACAAATACATACACATATACACACACTGCAACGGAGGATTAGAGTTACATCACATGTTAATATACATACACACATAAATACACATAAATACATACGCAAACACACACACACGCGCACCCACACTCACACACGCACACACATTGGGGATAATTCAAACAAAACTGATCATAAACGTGGACACCTCTTGCTTCTATCTTCGGGGTCTGGCTGCGTCTAATCCCTGGACATGTCTCGTGTCGCGTGTACAGTTTATAATCCAGGCCTATGTGGCTCGTGCACGTATAGATTACACAGTAGGAGTGGACTGACCGCCACCCAGCCCCGGATAAAGCGGAAGTAATGAGATGGATGGATTTAAAACAGTTTAAATTCGTTGCTATAGTTTTCTCCCAAAATTTCCCTAGTTAATTTAATTATTTGAATCATTTTCCACGAATTCTTCTCACGCCTTTTCTCGATAAATATTCTTGATTCTGGGCAGAAATTCATTCAAACAAATCCAGAGTAAAATCAAGAAATTTGCCTAATTTTTGGTTTTGCTTTTTTACCGCGTGAAGAAGGCGCTCCTTAAAGAACGCAGCGTCTCGTTTGTTTAGAGCAAAAAAACACAACTTTAAAACACTTTAAAATCTTTCAGATAATCTTTAAATTTTACTCAGCATTGAATCAGGAAACTACTGAATTTTTAGTGTTTTGCCAAAGGGCCCCACATCAGCAGACGCCTCTATATCAAAACTTTCTCGTTACGTCTTTCTCCCATCACAAATATATGCGTGATAATATTTATGCCTTGTGTGATTTTAACGTGTCTTTTTTTGTTACGCACTTGACGTTGCCTTGCGTGAACTGTGCTATACGAATATACGTCCCTTTTTGCAAACACTCACGTATATTAGACAAAAACATATTTACGTTCAATCAAAATAGCGCCAAAATCCATGCATTCAATGACATTAAGCACACCAAACGTTAATACATTCAACAATACGAGGCCTGTGAGTGTGTGATGATAAAGATATAATAGTGAGATACGGTGGCGTGAATGGGTCAAATCTTACGTCGCTTTATGACGCTTCCGGACACGGCCTGAGAGCCTTTGAAAGAGCAGGTCTGAGCAGGTCTGTGGAGGAGCGAGCAGCGGCGGAGCGCGGGCCCAGATGGCGAGCAGAGTATTTAAGGCTAAATGGAGCTCGTTAAAGCCCAGAGAGAACCACGCACGCACGCGCATATGACGCACAGGCATTTTGCTCATCGCGCAATCATAAATCAGCGGTGTTTAAGCCGCTCCGGGAGAGGCCGTTTGTGACGCGGAGGGAGAGGAGCGCGCGGGTGTCATAATGACGGTTAGATCTGTGTCTGATTAGATAGATACAGATAGATACTTACTTCTATCGTAGGATACGTAGGATTACGTTTTTAAACATGAGAATTATATAACTTTTATTACGTTGAATTTTACGCATGACTCTGGTATTTGTGGTGCGTCAAATTAGCTGGTTTTGATTTCTTATTTTGTCTATATTTTCTGCTCCAAGATTAAAAATATACGTCTTTTTTTCAGTGAAAGTAGAGAAACTGGATCCAATTCGCGATTCCGACCAATGTTCATTATTACAGCTTTTTGCAGGGTCCAGATGGAGAGATTTGCGTTGAGTTCCCGCTTTTAAACGTGACAATGACAGAGTATTAAAGGTGACAGGTTTGTGTAGATCCATCCAGCTCTGAGCAGACGTCAAACTGATTCAAGACGTTTTTTCCCATGTTCTGTTTGTAAAAGTGACTATAAGAGCTGACGCATTCACTGGCAAAATCAAAACGTTTTTTCTACAAAATTCAACTTTAAAACACATCAATATCTATCGTTTGGTCTCGACGTGTTTGTGTTGAGTTTCCCTTTTTGCAAATGAGAAATACAGAGAGGATTTGGAGTTTTAAGGACAGATGGAAAACCTGACGAAGATAAACAGATGTCAACACTGCAGGTGCGTTTTGGCCCAGTCTTCCTCTTGTCTTGTAAAAATAGCAAAATGACGCGTATATTAATGCAGAAGTCAAAGGCATTATAGAGTTTTTAAGATAATCCGGAAAACAAAACAAAAATTGTAGGCGATTTATTTCACCTAGAATTATTATTACTTTAGAAAAATAAGTTTTACTAAAGTGTGTTTCTTTTTCTCTTCATTTTTATATTTTAGAAATTTATGTACATTTTTATTATGCCTGATTGTATAATCTACTTTTGACATGTTTGCACCGAGAGCCAAAGCTATTTCCTGAGACTTCCTGTTATTTACATTATTATTCTTACAAATAATGATTCTGATTCTGATTTTTGGCCTGTTCCATATTCTCCCGCGTCTTTCTCTGCTGGCAGCGCGTGTCCTGCAGTATTTTAGCTAAATCTGCCTCTGTGTGCAAAAATACAATAATATTTGATTTTAATTCACTCGCTCTCAACATGTCATAAACGCACGCGTTAATATTGTCTAGTTTTTAAGCCTTGGTTCAGGCCCAGAATGGTCATTTTTACGATACTTTCTGTGAATAGATATGTTTTAAACTCAGAGGGTCATTACAAATTTACATTACATTACTTTTCCACTTTATCTCTTGGTTTGACATAAACGCAGACGTATCCAGAGGAGACGCGCGGATGCAGTGTGTATAGCGTCCGTATTTCTCGGTATAAAACATGTTAACGCTGTGGTCCAACAATAAAACATGTATTTTTTTCTGCTGAGACACGAGCCTTGGACCTCTGCAGTTTCCGTCATTAATGATATCACGTGTTGTCTATATTTATTAACTTATATTTAGGCCTGTTCCATGTTGTTCCGCAGGTCCAGTGCTTTCTCATAGCGTCTTAACAGTGATTTCTGATGTTTTTGATTTCAAACTTGTACATTTATCTCCAGTCATGAGCATAGACGTTTAGCGCGGTTAGAGCCAGCGTATCCCATGTGTGTGGAGGTATAGTCTGGGTGAGTGTGATGGAGGTAAAGCCCGGGTCTCTCTTTGTGTATTGCGTTTCCTCTGATTGCTTTGTCTGGACTTGATCTTCGCGAGTTTAAACTATTCAAATAATCCACTTATCACCTGGAGCTGCTGCGCGCTCCGGCCCGGGTCCCTCTCTCTCCCCCCTCTGCCTCCCCCCACTCTCCCACCTCTCTTCCTCTGGCTCCTCTGACACCTAACAAACGAGCTAACAAACCCACCCCCAACTAATGCGACTGTACCACCTACTCTGACCCCGGCGCACACGCAGAAACGGCAGAAAACATTAGATTTGTGACGAGAAAGGACGAGAATAAGAAGAGAGATTTCAATGGTATTTATGTATAACGGGAGAAGGTTATTATGGAGATTACGCCGCGAAACATGGGATGGATTCAGATTATTTTGAAGCCAGAGAAAGAAGCTAAAATATGACACTGGTTTAATATATCTGGCTATTTGTTATCAGTTTGAATGAATGCAAAATCATAAAAGAAATATACGAAATATTTTAGCGTCAAATGGAAAATGATGTGTAAAATTGGCCAGAAATCACTCAAGCCATGTATAAACGTGTGTGTATGTTTGTATGCGTGTGCGTGTGTGTGTATTGTGTTATGGGGTCATTAATATACAACGCGCCTTGTTCCTTGTATAAGATTTTTGTTGTTGTAAAACAGTATATTTTTGCTTGTTTTGAGGCGAAACGCATCACTTGACCATGTGCTGTTTTTAAAGTCTGAACAGAATCCAAGATGGAAAAAACAATTGTACATGTTACAGTCAATTATAGAGAGATTTTTCAGTCTTCAGCACGAACAACGCAAGTATGAGTATTAGTATTAGCATTAGTTTTAGTATTAGTATTAGTATTAGGTAGATCTAATTTATAAGGAGTTTCTGTCAATGAGGAGACTGTAGTTTTTTGTTGTACATTTTGTGCGTTTTTTAAGTGAAATTATTCAGATTTCTTTCCATAAATCTATGCGACTATCATCTAAACACATTCATTTAAAACGCAAGACCAAGTTCTCATCACAGCGTTACAAATACACTAAAAATATAACACATTATTTTGTCTATTTCTCTGCGCAAACAACGCAGTATCCGCTCTTCCATCTCTCACTTCTGTAAATATATGACGCGACTGGTATTTATGGTGTGTCTATACAGGCTTGGATTTCTTATTTCTTTCCCCAAATCATCTATGGTCCAAATGCATCTTTCTGAAGTCCTCGTTTTTTGCAGTAAAAGTAAAAAGACTGGTATAAAATAAATTGTTACATAAAATACATCACTGCTGTTATCAAATGGATTCAGATGGAGACGTGGGAATTTAGCAACAGCATGCATATAATTGAGGAGCTATAATATGCCACTGGTTTCAAACATATAAGTCAGATATGTGGGATCGAAATGCCATTATTATTATTATTATTGTGATTATGATTATGTTTGGGTCACTTCCACTCTCTCTCGCACACGTCTCTATGGCGCTTCCACGGCCCATGATGCATGCGGCGTGGGGCTTTTGTCCGAGGCTGTTTTTTTGCATGAGAATCCAAATTAACAAGCTTTTAATTACTGTGGTGCTAATCAAAGCTCAAGCGCGGCTGGAGACGTTCGCGCCCCCGGGCTCCAGTCCACATCCAAATCAACAGCAACGAAACGAGGGGACGGAAGGAGAAGAAGTCACACGGAGGTCTCACTCTCTCTCACTCTCTCTCCCTCTCACTCTTACAATATTATCAGCTAATATTATGACAACAGGCTGGACACAGGGCCTCGTTATCACAACAGCAAAAAAAGAAAAAGAAAAATACATTAGGTATATATATTTGTCGGTGTATTTAAAATAATTGAGCCAAATTAGACAGACAGTAGCAGCGCGCTCTGGGGTCCACATCACCCGGGACCGTATTGTTCCTAAAGCGGCTTTTTCTGTGTGAAATTGAGCCTTTAAACTCATCATTATTATTGCGTTGCATTAAAATAGCTTCAGCCCGTGCTTTAAAACCTGTATTTGTTCAGTAACATCAGGCCTATGTTTGAAATAATGATTAAAAAGACCCAAAAAAGGGACGCATAAGTGACAGAAGTCCATGTTTCCGCGTCGCAGACTTTGAGCACACTTCTGCACATATTTATACATATGTTTAAATATTGTTTTAGTTACGGCCATTTCTGTGTGTTTCAGTGCAAAATACGATTATCATAGATGCGTTTTGAACCTTTCTATCTTGTTTTGACTGAATAATAAGCAGTAGTTTCATTATTTGTATTATTATTATTATTATTGGCCTCGGTGTTGGCTGCACGCGGGGGAATATTCAATACAAACTAACACAAGATTTAAATACAGATATAACTGGGCACTTTTAAATATTTGTAGTTGGATAATAACAGTGAACATGTATTTACATTATTGTTTTACTGCATTTTTTTTCTGACGACAAATAAACGTCTATATTTTCTTTCTTCAATTCTCACTTCTCAAAATGTGGATCTAATATTAAATGTATGTGTTTATCACTGTGTGTTTTGATTGATATGTTTTGTGGGTTGTATTGTGAACGACCAGAGCACTATGTAAGATATTAGACATTTGAATTTCAATGGACATTTTCCTGCAGAACGACAATAAATGCGATAATGCCTCATGTTTAACCTCCGCTCCTTGTCTCTCTCTTACAGCTGACCCAAACTCTCCGTCCTCTTACCTAAAGAAATCGTTTTTGCAGTAGAGCCTCCCCTCTCGAGAAAAGCACTTCTCGGTCAAGTTGCATTTGCAGTCACAGCACTGGACGCATTTGACGTGCCAAGCTCTGTCCAGAACGTTCAGCAGGAAGCGGTCCAGGATCGGCCTCTCGCAGCCCGCGCAGTGGACCATGGTGGGCTCTGTGGCGTTGGGTGTGAGGGCTCCAGGCAGAAATCACGCCGCGGACTTCAAGGCTCTCTCTGCGGGGGGAAGAAGGCGCATGGACCGGGTCTGTGGTGGTGGTCTCCCTCCCAAAAAAAATAATGGTATATATGAAAACACCCGACAGCGAGAATCAATGCGAAGTCAAAGCGCAGCGATGGAAGAGCATGGGGTCGAATCTACAGCGAACCAATCACAGCCTGCATCGCTTCACTTCACTTACTCTAGTATTAGAATAAACTCCTATATTTACAGGTCTCCACACATGGACCCTGCTTTACCCGCGCGTAAAAGTCGCTCCAAGAATCAAAAACAAAAAAACAAAAAAAAAACACGAAAGATTTGGCTCCAATGTTGTAAAAGAGAAGGAAAAAAATAGATCAAAACAACAAAAACTGGAAGTCCTTTTCTGGGTCCAAGGCGAGGATGATGTGTGTGTGGCGGGGATGGAGGCTCAGGTCGCCGTTGTGTGTTCTTGGAGCTGCTCTGTCCCACTATGACGCATTGGGCACGGAGCAGAGATGGGAAGCGAAGTGCCAATCACGGAAGCTGTCACACTGTACGCGCGCATGCAGCCAAAGAGCAGGGCAATGTATCCACACGGAGCACAACATCAACGCTTTCCTCGCAGTAGAATAAGCAGCAGTCGTAGCAGTAGTAGTAGTAGTAGTAGTAGAATAGTATAGAGTATTGGCTTCCACAGCTGCTTGCGTGTGATCTCCACGTCTCCACTGACACTGCCTTTGCTTTTGCGCCTTCCTCCCTCGGACTAAAGCCTTATTCCCAGCCCTGTGATGTCACCGACGGCACGGGCCAATGGGAGAGCCCGCCCTGGTCCGCTGCGATGATAAAACTAGGACTGGGTGCTGGTGTAAAAACGCCACACGCACACACGAATGGAGCCCGGGCGAGAGGCGACTTCTCCCGCGGGTGAGGGATGGAGGATGCGGCTGGAGGTTGGGGTTGGAGGGACGCGGCTGCTGTCCGGGATCCGTGGGTATATAAGCGAGGATTTCAACAAGATCTGAAGCGAGATTTTTTAATACATACATTATGGCTTTGTAATTAGCTGATCAATGTTTAGAAAGGATTTGAGTTCTGCTTTATGTCTCTAAATTATGTCTACATTTATTGTTATTGGCGAAACAGCAGAGACGTCGTAATTCACGTCTTTCAGACTAGTTTTTAAACAGCTACGGAGAAGTCTAATTTTCATTTTCCCACGCATAGATGTAATTAATGCATTCACGCATTTTTAATAGTATTATTTAAAGCTTGTTATTGGATATAGTCATAAAAACAGTTATAAAAAAGGTTATTTTTGATTGGCCGGAAATTCTCAAAATGACAAAAAACAACCAAACACTCGCGGGACACAGAGATGAGACAAAATATAGCAATTTTTTGTCAGAAATATTACGAATTTACACGAAAGGGCACGTGGACATGGCTTACGTAGCTAAACAAAAAGGTGAAGGCAAATTTAAAAGAGTAATTTCAACAGTTAAATTAGTTATATGTATAAAATAGAGCTTTTTATGCTTATTCCATTAAATGTAAGTGTGTGTGTGTTATGGCCCAGTTTTATTTCACAGCTTTGAGTCAAACATATAGAAACTGTATTTTAAAAAGCCATTTGAAAAAGGTGTTATTATTTTTCATGCTAAAAGTCTGTAATGGTCTGAGACGTGTCGCGCGCCTCTGCTGTTTTTTGCGACGTGACGTGAAGGCAATTTGCATTTGTTATCTATAGCTTAATGTGTGCGTGTGTGTGTCCGTGTTTGCGTGTGTGTGCGTGTGTGTTGCAGGGAGCGCGTGCCAGGGTGCAGGGCCCGGAGTGTGGAGGAGGAAGTGGAGGCTCAAAAGTTCACAGAAACAGCAGAATCCGAAACGAAGAAAGCATCAAAGAGACCGCGCTGCTGTTTCTGTGCAAATAGAATCTTTATTGAAACATTTTGCGACTTTGCAGGATTTGATCTGAGTCTCCAACACGCACTGATTTTTAATGTGCATATTAACAGTTCAAACACAAAAAGGCAATAATAACAAACACATAGGAGCCCTGGAAAGAGTCGTCAGACCCTGCATCAGAGGAACCACCAAGACAGAGAAGAAACAGTGGGAGAAAAAAGAGGAATCTCGGGGAGGCCCAGAGAGGGAGAGTCTGTAGACCCAGGATTGAGGCTGTAGACCCAGGACTGAGACTGTAGACCCAGGACTGAGGCTGTAGATCCAGGACTGAGGCTGTAGATCCAGGACTGAGGCTGTAGACCCAGGACTGAGGCTGTAGACCCAGGACTGAGACTGTAGACCCAGGACTGAGGCTGTAGATCCAGGACTGAGGCTGTAGATCCAGGACTGAGGCTGTAGACCCAGGACTGAGGCTGTAGACCCAGAGAGGGGAATGCCACATATCGTTACATTTGCTCGTATAGCAGAAGCATTTGTAAAAAGAAATACAAACAAAAATTACTTTATTTCTGATCAAAGACCTAAAAGAATTTGTCATTCAGAGAGTTTACAGAATGGGTTTTGAATCAATATCTTGATATTTTTTGTCATATAGAAAACTTGGAATCCAAATCCTTATCGCTAACATTTGCGCCATGTTTTTAGTTTCATACTTTGTCAATGGGAAAAAATAAATAAATAAATCTCGCAACAAATCAGTATAGAATTTATTTCAAACTATATTTTCATAACCTAAAACAAACAAGTTACAGAAGTACAAATTCAAAAAGAGAGATTGGACAAATATGTGTTTGTACAGTGGTCTTAGTGGGACCATTGCGGTTTAAAACTGTCAAAATATTCTGAAATCAAAAGATATATTGTCTATTTTTTCATGCAAAATTTAACACTATATAGACGTAGATATATATGAATATCACCCCTTTTTGTCAATTTATTTTTCACACATAACACACACATATGATCAAAAAAAGCAATATTCGACCATTTTTTTTTTAGTGTGCTTCTATCGCTATAAAAAGCATTTCCCAATAAATTGCATCTTAACATTAACACAACAACACACAATCAACTCACGAAATCAACGATATCACATGGTTACAATCTCCCGCCCTCGACCCCACATGGTACGTCCCCTTTAAGGCGACCATGGGACGCGTGGACGGGCCTCGCCGCTGTTTACTGTGCGCGCGGCGGAAGTGATGAGGCGTTTTGGATGAATATGATGCTGCAGTTCATCCAGGAGGCGGTCAGGGGGAGGAAGGGGGAGTCAGGGGGAGGAGAGTTTATTCTCCCCGCGTTAATCCAGACAGGACACCCCTCAGCGACCTCCGAGCGCACCCAGCCATCCTGACATCCCTCTCTCTCTCTGCCTCTCTCACGGGCCTTCCCCCCTCCCTCTCTCTCTCCCTCTCCCCCTCTTTATCTCATGCCTTTCTTCCGTCCTGCCTTTCTCCCAAACTGCTTCCCTATCACTCTCTCTCCCTTTTTCCCACCCACTCCCTCATTCGGCCTCTCTCTCATTCAATCTCCTCTTTTCTCTCTCTCCCTCTCCTCTCTGGCCTCCTCTCTCCCTCTCCTTTCTTTTCTCTCCCCCGCTCTCTCGAGTCTCACCTCTTCTTTTTCCTCTGCTCTCTCTTCTCTTCTCAGCTCCCTGCTCCCCCTCTCTTCCCCTCTCTCCCCCCCTCCTCTCTCTCGGTGGGTCTCACATCTGCCTCTCCACTCGCCCGTGACCGTGCGCATGGGGTCAGTGAGCTCCGTAACTCTGGGCGGGTCGCCTTTAAGCCCGACAATCAGCGGAGACAGAGAGAGAGAAACACAGCGAGAGAGAGAGAGAGAGAGAGAGAGAGAGAGAGAGAGAGAGAGAGAGAGAGAGAGAGAGAGAGAGAAACACAGAGAGAGAGAAACACACACAGAGAGAGAGAGACAGATATATAGAGAGAGAAACACAGAGAGAGAGAGAGAAACACACAGAGAGAGACAGATATATACGAGAGAGAAACAGAGAGAGAGAGAAACACACAGAGAGAGAGAGAAACAGAGAGAGAAAGAAACACACACAGAGAGAGAGACAGATATAGAGAGAGAGAAACAGAGAGAGAGAGAGAGAGAGAGAGAAACAGAGAGAGAGAGAGAGAAACACACAGAGAGAGACAGATATAGAGAGAGAGAAACAGAGAGAGAGAGAGAAACACAGAGAGAGAGAGACAGATATAGAGAGAGAGAAACAGAGAGAGAGAAACACACAGAGAGAGAGAGAGACACAGAAATACTCACTATATTTAAAGCTCAGACTGAGACTTGATTTTTGAAAAAGAGAAAATACAAAACCTTTCTAAAAGTCTTTCTACTGTAACAATTCTTCTCTGGTGATGGTGGAAGTTGGTGATATGGAAAACCCCGTGCTCCTCACACAGATCACAGAGAGAGAGAGACACGGGCTGCTGTGTCAGAGCAACACGACACTCACCCGCCTCATGACCTAGTCTTTCTGCCGACACCAGCCCTGACCCGAACCCTTTGCTTTAGACAGCGGTAAAACCCAAACTTGTTTACATCCCGTCTCTTAAGATGTGGGTCAATGAGTGAAAGAACTCTTTCTCTCTTCCCTGTCTCGCCTCTCTCCTTTCTCTCTCTCCTCCCTCCTCTCCTCTCTACCTCTCTCCTCCTTTCTCCCCTCCCTGCTCTCTCTCCTTTCTCCTCTCCTCTCACTCCTTTTTCCTTTCCTCTCTCTCCTTCCTCCTCCCCCCTCTCTCCTCCTTTCTCCCCTCCCTGCTCTCTCTCCTTTCTCCTCTCTCTCTGTCTCTCCTCTTGTCTCCCCCCTGTCCTATCCTTTCTCCTCTCTCTTCCCTCCTCTCCGCTCTCCCCTCCCTGCCCTCTCTCCTTTCTCCTCTCTCCTTTCTCCTCTCTCACCTCTCTCACCTCCCTCCACTCTCTCCTTCCTTCTCTCCTCTCCCCCTCCTCCTCCTCTCTCCCCCTCTCTCTTCTCACTATAACAACAAACAAATCTCATTCTCATTTCTAATCACCAAAAACAAATCCTAACACAGTAGACAATGGTCAGTTGTCAGGACCCCCCCCCCCCCCCCCTCCCCCCCAGGCATTAACAGCTGTACTTTACCTCCATCTCTTCCCCTTCAAACCTCCCATCATCCGCTTCTCTCTGCCTCCCCGCTGCTCTGACGCGACTCCAGAGCTGGCTGTTACTCTCCCGGTAGAGAGGACACCACCCCGGGCCCGAAACCGCAAACTCTTGTAAAACACCGGGAAAAGTCGTTTATTCGCAATGGGAGTTTGTGTGAGATCCTTCGATAGCGCGTCTCTCGGATCCGTGCCACACACAGAGAGAGAGACGCGAACACGGGGAGAAAGAAGATTAATCCACAAATAGGAATACACAAAAAAAAAACAGGCTTAAAAATATCTCAGCTCGCTCCAGGCTTCGCGTCTTCTTCAAAAAGGGCGTTAACCTCATCGCGGCTGCGTGTAATCCGGATACTGCATTCAGCTCTGTTCGGATGACAAAGTGACGTGTATAAGGCCGTGGCTGTGGGCCTGGGCGTGTGCGGCCTGTGTATGTGTGTGTGTGTGTGTGTGTGTGTGCGTGCGTGTGTGCGTGCGTGTGTGCGTGGTGAGAAAGAACGTGAGAAAGGACGCACGTTTTATGGAGTGTTTATGGAGTGTGTGTTTAGTTACTGCAGATGAACAACACGAGGAGTTAATTGTTCTGTTTCATCTTATCTGTAGAGAGAGAGGGCAAGAGAGAGAGAGAAGAAGAAGAGAGAGAGAGAGAAATAGATAAATACGTACAGTATATATACATTGAGAGAGAGAGAGAGAGAAGAAAAAGAAGAAAGAAAGAGAGAAATAGATGAATATATACATTGAGAGAGAGAAAGAGAGCGAGAGACAGGGATAGATATATGTACTGTATATATATATAGGGGAGCGAGAGATATAGAGATAGATAGTTGGATACATTGAGAGAGAGAGCTAAAAATAGAAAGATAGAACTATAGATAGACACATAGGTAGATATATAGATGGATAGAGAGACAGGGAGGGAGAGAGAGAGCTAGATATAGATACTTAGATATTTAGACAGACATATATAGACATTTGCTCTCCCATATTTCATCAACATCACATATCAACAGTACAGCAGTCTCCACATGACCAGACTTTGTCCTGAAGAACGTTTCCATCCATCTTGAATCTTGTTCTTACTTCCTCCCTGAATGCGCTGCAACACAGACATTTCCCCAACTGTGGGACACACACTTCTCTCATGTTGAATTTCACGCTTCACAAAGTCTGCAGAAGCAACACCAGGTCAGAGTCAATATATCTGTATACAGTATACACGGTTGAATTTTAGATTTTTATCTCAATCTACGGTAGAGTTGTGTGTAAAGGTTCTGTTCCAGGCCTTGTGAACTACAGGCAGTGAGAAAGAGAATTCTAATCACTGCTGGTATGGATTCCCTGGTGCTGAAACTGCACCATCGCCACACGATAAGGACCATATGCGTCTTGTTTCTGTGTCAGTGTAAATGACTGTGTTTTACAGACCAGTTCTTGCCTGGTCTTCCACTTCAGCACCACGGACAGCGACAGCACACAGCCAGGCCTCCAATGCGGGCAATGTCCTGGGTTTAAAAAAATAACATTATTATTATTTTGTATTTATTGAGCCTTGTGTGTCATATACAGACTAAGACTAAGAGTTTGAACCTCATGGAGTTCAAAAGATACAAAAAATTCTTAAAATACTGTAAGTCTATCTCCTCTAACATACAATTATTCATAAGGCTATTATTGTGAGCGACAGATGTGGATATTTTTATGTGTGTGTTTGTGTGTGAGTGTGTGTTTGTGTTTGTGTATGCATGTATGTGTGTGTATTTAAGGTATGTGGTATGTGTGTGTGTGTGTGTATGTGTGTGTCTGTGTGTGTCTTTAATAAGTGTGAGTATGTTTGTAGTAGATGTGTGTATGCCTGTATTAGTTGTGTGTGTGTTTGTAGTAAGTGTTTGTGTGTTTATGTGTATGTATTTGTGTGCATTTATGGTATGTGGTATGTGTGTGTGTAAGCCTGTAATAAATGAGCAGCTTATTAATATGTTTATAAGCACATTCCAGCAAATTATAAGCATGTTACTAATGCCTATTAATACCTTATTAATACTTAACTAGCACACCTTAATATAAAGCGTTACCGTGTGTGTGCGTATGCCTGTAACAAGTGTGTGTATGTTTGTAGTAGATGTGTGTATACCTTTGGTAAGTATGTTTGTGTGTGTGTGTGTGTGTATGTATGTGTGTGTGTATGTGTATGCCTGTATTATTGTGTGTATGTTTGTAGTAGATGTGTGTATGCCTTTAGTAAGTATGTTTGTGTGTGTGTGTGTATGTGTTTGTAGTAAGTGTGTCTCTGTAGTAAGTGTGTGTTTCCCTTCCCTTTCACTAATTCAGAGTGTCTGTGCCTGTCTGCATGGGTCCTGACCTACAACCTGTGCGTGCTCCTTCTCCTGCAGATTCCAAAACAAATAAATAAACAAATACATAAATGAATAAATAAATAGCGCGGGTGAGCGGAGGCGCTGGTTTATGAAGTTTGCGCGGCTGAACTGCGCCGCGATCATGACTCGTCTCTTAATGAATTAGAAGATCATCTTTTCATCTCATTCATACACAGTGGTGATACACTACTACTGTTGCCACAGCTGCCCTGGGGCACACTGACAGAAGCGGGGAAACCAGTCTGTGCCATCACAAAACTCACATTCCCCTCTCTGGTCTCTCTCTAGTCTCTTTCTGTTCTCTCTCTGGTCTCTCTCTGGTCCCTCTCTCTGGTCTCTCTCTAGTCCCTCTCTAATGTTTCTCTCTGGTTTTTCTCTGGTTACTCTCTGGTCTCTCTCTTGTCCTTCTCTCTGGTCTCTCTCTGGTCTCTCTCTTGTCCCTCTCTCTGGTCTCTCTCTGGTCTCTCTCTTGTCCTTCTCTCTGGTCTCTCTCTGGTCTCTCTCTCTGGTCTCTCTCTGGTCTCTCTCTGTGGTCTCTCTCTGGTTTCTCCCTCTGGTTTCTCTCTGGTTTCTCTCTGGTTTCTCTCTCTGGTTTCTCTCTCGTCTCTCTCTGGTCCCTCTCTCTGGTCTCTCTCTGGTCTCTCTCAGTTCTCTCTCTGGTCTCTCTCTGGTCCCTCTCTCTGGTCTCTCTCTGGTTTCTATCTGGTCTCTCTCTGGTCCCTCTTTCATGTTTCTCTCTGTTTTTTCTCTGGTTACTCTCTGGTCCCTCTCTCTGGTCCCTCTCTCAGGTCTCTCTCTAGTCTCTCTCTAGTCTCTCTCTTGTCTCTCTCAG